GGTATACCTAAATATTTCGTATTTCATATTTAACCAGTTCAAGCGTTCAAGGAAAATCGACAAAAACTCCCACCTAATTTCAAAAATAAAAAAGTTGTACAGTAATAAAAACTGTTTGTTTTTCCTACCTGAAATTCCTGATGTCCATCGATCTTTTGTTTTTCATCTTTAAAAAGATATAAATTACAAAAGAAAAAGTAACACAAAAGAAATATATTCTTGTAATGAGGAAAAGCGTCTAAAGAAAAACTTTTCCGAACTCTGAGACAATTTAAAAAGATTCTTATTGTCTTTGGAACAAAGTGTATTATTTGTTTATTTTGTTATTTATAAATCTTTAGTCGGCTTTTTGTTTGTCGAATATTTATTTGTTGACAATTGAACGATGATCAATTAAAGACAGATGGTCTTGTTTGATATCAAATTCAAAAACGCAACTTGTGACCGTGACATTTGAGTCCAAATTTCAACAAACGAAAACATTTCTAGAATTTTCTAGATAAACTCATATGTTACCTTTATTTGCCTATTCCTTTAGGGAAAATAGATGTGATGATATTATCTATTCTCAAAATATCCCAGCCAGCAAAAATATAGTATTTGTTCAATCTTTTATACAGAATATTATCAAATTACATAGCTCCAAGCTATCTGACGATAGCCTACTGAATATTTTCTTATACAAAACAGAAATATTTTTCTTTAACAAAATATTTTTAAACAAAAGCAGAGATAAGGATAAATACATGCGGTCTAGTATCTGTGATAACAATGTGGTTGACCTTTTATTATTAATGGGGTAGACGACTAATTTTTATTTTAATGTCCGTCTGGTAGATTATTTAAAAACATTAGACACGTATTTTTTATTTTCTTACGGAAACGAATAGTTTCGAAGATATATTGATTTGAAATGTCGCGTGACGTCACTTCTCAGTACATTTTATACTAAGAAATGACGTTTTAGCCCCCACTCCTAAACTTTGATTCGTTTTATCTAAGTATTGTTTTATTATACAACAAAATAAAAAAATACGTGTCTAATATTTTTTTATTACCTAAGTTACGGACTAATTATATTTTTAATTTTCATACCCTGTCATCATCCCCATT